AAATGCCCGCCTGCAACCATTTTCGCGCACTGCAACAAAAATTAGCTTAAACAAATTACCATTAAGTTGTGATTAAAGAGAAGATGAGTTCCGTTCTGATCCTTGTAGCTATTCGCTGTGCCAGTTCCACAAAATGACGGAGGGACAATTTCGAGCAACGCACTACAGTGGAATTATGAAGTTCATTAACTTACGGTAATCAGCAAATTCCAAATCCTTTGCATTTCTCCACAATTCGCATTCACGCTTTTTGCGCCTTTCGATCGGACGATGCTCCATTGCTCGCAAGTACATCCACTGCTCGCTATCGCGGTATTCCGGCCAGCGAATTGCTCCAGGGCCATCAAAATTTGGCTCACTGCATCACAATTAATTAATTCAACAAGTTTCAAATCTACAAGAAGACATTATCTTTGTGCATGTTTATTTCGACATAATAAGTTCTAAAACCACCGCGGCGTTATATTTGTCAGCCTGATTTGGACATCAGCAAAAACTTTACTGTGTACTAACCCACTTCGCTATGTTGAGACTTGCCACCATGTCAGGCATAGCTGCCACAGAGCTTGCCAAACCGGTGGTACTTCATTAGAGATGTATGACTGCTTTCGCCGTAGTGAATCTGGGAGACCCCCAATAGTATCGTTTAAATTTGAGGCGACCAAGCGCTTTCATCTTTTCCCGGTCTGCTGAACCCGTCAGAATTCAAAAGTTGCGGTGCTTCAACGAATCCAGTTACGGCACCAATCATTTTCATAAATAATAAAGTTTTTTTTTTCATTTTCATAAAGACTTTTTCAAATCATGTGTTTTCTAAAAATAAACGAAATGTACCCGAAGTTGGCGAAATGAGTCCAATACTTCAGCACTTTTTCACTAAAAATGCGCTCCTGTGAGGTATATCCAGCTGTGAAATTGTACAGAGGTACTCCGAAGACAAACTCAATCTCATAACCGTGCATTACTCCAGCCCATTTCGGCCATGGATTCGCGCTGGAAATTAAGCATTTTTGCTACTAAACCAATTAGATCCATTTAGCATAAAGCCGAAGAAAGGCACGGGTTTGCCTGGCGCTTTCATTCTTTCACAGTTTAGGGAATAATTAGGGATAAAAATCTTGCAAAAAAAAAAAAATTAGGGACTAAAAATCTTGCAAGGAAGGTTTGTGCCATTACACATTTTAATCAAAAAAAAAGCTCGATTCGGCTGGGACTGATGGGAACAAATTTTATTTTCTGAACTAGTGCTAACACATCACTAGGTTCTGAGGACAAGTGAACACGGCTAAAATAAACTACAAAAAAGAAAGATATCATGAACTGGGGTGTTCGAAGCGTGGTTCAGTTATCTACGATCTATACATATGCGAATATATACGTCAACACCCATACATGAATATTTACAAACTGAACAGTTTTCATACCAAATAAGTTCTGTGCATGAAAAAAGCAAGTCATTAAAGAGCAGTTAAAATATAAAAATTTAATTTTTCACTACTCACACGCCAGTACCTTTGCCTCTCATACGAGATACTACAGAGAGGGACATGACTTTGACTCCGACAAGACATGGATGTGGCGTAAATACGTGCCCAGCAAAATCGCACGACAGTAACTGTTCGCACCTGGAGGGCTGGTCGAAATAGTATATGTAAATTTTGCCACTCGCCGTTTTCATGTGCTCGGCA